TGAGAGGTAGGTTTTGAGCTGCAGGAACGCGTCTTCGCACTTTTCGTCCCACTCGAATTGCTTGTTGCCTCGTAGAAGTTGGTAGAAGGGCAGACACTTGTATGTGGATCGGGATATGAATCTGTTAAGTGCGGATATCCTTCCTGTTAGGCGCTGAACTTCGCGAATATTTCTTGGCGAGGGTAGCTCCAGCATTGCAGAGATCTGCTTAAGATTGGCTTCGATGCCGCACTGAGTGACCAAGTATCCTAGGAATTCGCCGGATGTGACTGCGAAGGTGCATTTTGCGGGATTGAGCTTCATGCTATACTCGTTGAGTATGAGAAAGCATTCACGTAGATGGACAATATGATCGGCTGCTTTAGTCGATTTGACGAGCATATCATCTATATACACCTCCATCGTCTTCCCGAGCTGATCGGCGAACATCTTGTTGACGAGGCGCTGATAGGTGGCTCCTGTATTCTTCAGACAAAACGGCATGACCTTGTAGCAATAGGTTCCTCGATATGTGATGAATGCGGTCTTCTCACTGTCATCTGGATTCATGAGAATCTGGTTGTATCCCAAAAATGCATCTATGAAGGAGAGTAGTTTGTTGCCTGCGGTAGCCTCGACGAGCTGATCAATGCGATGGAGAGGAAAACTGTCATTCGGACAAGCTTTGTTGAGGTCTGTGAAGTCCACGCAGACTCGCCATTTCCCGTTCTTCTTTTTGACTACCACTGGGTTGGCGAGCCACTCCGAATACTTGACTTCGGCGATTGATCCAGCCTTCAGCAGCTTATCTACTTCATCGTGGACAGCTTGTGCTCGCTCGGGTCCTTACTTCCGTCGCTTCTGCTTGATCGGCTTGAAGGTGGGGTCGACATTCAACTCATGATTCGTGAGTCGAGGGCTAATGCCCTTCATATCAGCCATGGACCACGCAAATGTTGCGATGTTCTCCCGGAGGAAACTGATCAGCTCGTCCTGCATGCTTGGCAATAGCTCCGTGCAGATGCTGACGCAATGTTCCGGGTGAGCAGCATCGATGTTGACTTGGACGATGAGGTTGCTTTTCGGCTTCTCGTCGTGGTGAGTTATCCGTGGATCAAAATCGCTGCTACTACCGATCACGAATGTGGATGCTTTGCAGGCGCATTTGTTGTCGATGTAACAATGTCGGGACACTGTCTGATCGCCACGGATGGTGATGACATGGCCCCTAATCGGCATTTTGATGCATTGGTGGTAAGGAGAAAGGACGGCCCGCATGGCATTCAGCCAGGGTGTTCCAAGGATGGCATTATAGATTGCAGTTCGGTCGATAACTTCGAACTTGACCGTAATTGACTTCCCGCGTATAGTGACAGGCATCGTTATAGTTCCTATCGTGGAGATCGAATCTCCAGTAAACCCGGTGAGGGGTGATGGCGCGACTTTGATATCCCGCTCGGGGATACTCATCTTGCGTAGAGTATACATGAAGATGAGGTCGACCAAACTTCCTGTGTCGATCAGCACTTTGGAGACGTCGTCTTCTTCGAGCCGTAGTGAGATGACGAGTGGATCGTTATGAGGTCGGTCTATATCTTGTGCATCTCGGTAGGTCATCCTTGAACAGCGGTGGGGCGTCCTTCGGGGGGTTGGCTGCCTTCCGTTCGTGCCGTTTAATCGAATTGATCGAGTCGGTGCACGAGAGAAGCCCTCCCATGATCATGTAGATCCGTCGACGTGGTGAGCTCGGGGGTGTGTGATCGTCTTCACGGCCACGCTTTGCTTCCTTGCCTTCGCGTTTAGAAGACGGGCGATCAGCATCGGCTCTTCTATCTCGATCAGCATCGGCTATTCTATCTCGATAGCCATCGGATCGCCTGTCATGATCATCATCAGATCATCGCGAAGAACTCTGGGGTTCAGGTATGGTGCACTCGCCATCTTCCCACGCCATTCTCAAGAGGGCCGAGAGGATACGACAGTCATCGGTATGATGGTTGTGTGCCTTGTGGTACTTGCACTACGGCTTCTTACTATCGGGGTCCCTGACACTCGAACGATCCCAAACGTTCTATGGCTTTTTTGGTCGTCCAACAGCGTTAATACTCTTACGATTCTTGTCATCCTTATCGTAGTGCTGACAGGGCTCTTTGTAATCGTCCTGATTCGACGATCTGGCCTTCTTGTCGCGCGAAGATTTCTTGTTGGCCAACTTAGCCTTGGCCTTGGCCGCACGGTCCTCTTCTACCCTGATATAGCCGGTTGCCTTATGTAAAGCATCTTCTAGGGTTTTGGTCTTTCCTGTTTTCAATCGCTCGCAATACGACGAATCGTCTTTCAAGTTCTTGATAAGGATGTTGAGGGAGAGCTCGTCCGACAAACTGCATCAAGAAATGATCGATCGGAACCGATCGTTGAAATCACGCAGCGGTTTCGTGTCACCCTGGACGCACGCCCATAGATCGAGCGTTGTGGACTCCGTGTCGATATAAATTGAATAATGCTTAAGGAACTGAGCTGTGAGCTCCTTGTAGCTATCGATGGAGTTCTTGGGAAGCAGCGAGAACCAGGTGAGGGCGCTTCCAGAGAGCGTCTCCACGAAGTACTGAGAAAGGCATGCTTCCCACTCCTCGTCGGTGAAGCGAGCACGTCCCATGCGGTAAGGTGTCGCTTCGGGTCTGTCGTACCGGTGTAGCTTGGAGGTAGCTTCATCCGGCCTATGTCCTTGAGAAGAGCATTGGTGATGGCCGACGTAAACGGGGTCTGTTGGGTCTCCTGGAGGATCTTATCTAACTCTGGTGCTGAGGTTGTCGCCTTGTGGATCTTGCTGTGGATATCGTCAAGGCGTTGATGGAGAAGATCAAGTTTCGAGGCCGTCGTCAGGTCGGCACCTGCGGTGTTACGGAATGAGCGAGCATTCGAGCCTTCTACATGTGCTCTCTGCAGGTCGTCTGTCGGTGTTGTGCCGAACAGGTTATTGACCAGCCTAGTCGTATCTGTGTTGCGGATCGGAGGGCGAGGGTGGGGGGTGATTAGATCGGGATATGAACCCTGGAGTTGAGAAGCCAATGTAAGTCTTCTCGGTAGGCAATCTGCTCGGCACTGAGGGATTCGAAGCGAGCATCTGTTCCCTGATGTAGCTGTGCTGCGACCGACCTGATGATGGTGGCCATGTCGATGGGAGGCGGTTGCGGCAGGTTGGTCGTATTTGTTCCACTGGTCCGGCTGACCTGATCTGTCGCACCTGTCGTGTCTTCTTGCTGATCGGTCTCGTTGACCACGAGGAGTCCAGTGACTGGGTCGACGACCGGACCCTGGGTGTTTCTTGTTGGATCGGCAGCTCCCCCTGCAAGATCGATGGATCCTCCTGTGAGGTTGGTGGTGTTGATCGGTGTTTCAACCATCTTTGAACTCCGTTCTAAATCAAAGATTGTTCTCTTATTCCCCTCAGACGGCGCCAACTGTAAAAACTCAAGTCCGATCTACAAAAGAACTAGGGTTTGTGGGTTAAAAGAGAAGTCTTTTATTAGAAGAAACCGGAGCTTGAATGAATACACAGAGGTTTAGGTCGTCGGAATAAGAACGCCGACCTAAAATTTTAAGAGAAGTAAATCGAAAGCTAGAACAATCAAATTGCTTACTTTGCCCTAGGTCTCGAGAGATGATTTTTGGATGATATGAGAAGTCGAGGGCTTCCCATATTTATAGCTGATCAGGTCGGTCTTTGATGTGTGTTTAGAATAGGAAAGTCTTCTTGCCGACAAGAAGAAACTTTCTTTTTCCCGTGTTCGCTCGATAAATGGAAGGTTTCCATTTGTTTAACCGACTTGAAACCTGTAGAATGGGCCGACCAGAATTCATATCGGGCTTGTAGAGATGGTACGAATCTCATCTCTAACATATTGGATATAAGAATAAATTTTAATTATAATTTATTATAGCAATTTTTAACAACAAAAAGTATTCTACATCAAGAAGATATAAAATAAGATAATACTGCATTGAAGTAACCAAAGGAAAAAAAAAATCGAAGATTCAAACTGCAAACATAATTCTGCTCTAACAATACAAAAAAAAGACAAAGAGTAATTAAAAACAAAAACGTAGAAAAAAAGACGACAACCTTGCTGGAGAAGTTCAATAATACCAAAAAGAGCATAAATAAAAAGAAGATAACTAATGATAATATTATCAGTTCTTAATACAATATGTAAAAATTGAATTATACATATTGTTTATATAATTTTAGTTAAACATTTTTAATAGTATTATGTCATTGATGATTTATATTCATAATAAATAATTTAACCTAATTTTATATTTTATTGTTCTAATTTATAATTATCAGATTAATTAAATATAATTACAATATACAATAAAATAACAACTTTAAAATTATTTTTTATAATATTAAAAAAATTCTAATTTTATTTATATAATTATATATTTTAGTAAATATTTTAAATGTCTGCGTGTTGATGCGCGGATTTGTTTCCTAGTATACAATAATATAACAAATTATAATTGAATTCATTTGATATTTTATTAACTTTATCTTATAATGAATTAATAAATGTTTCATTAAAGTTGTAAATGGTCGCACACGCGCGGATTTGTTTTCTACTACTCCCTCTGTTTGAAAATAAGTGTCATTTTGATACTTTATTTTTGTTTCATAAAAAATGTCATTTTATGTTTTCAATGTAGTTTTTAATATTTATTTTCAGTTTTATCCCTGTAATTCTAGCTTATTAATTAGAGAAAAATTGTTTTAGTGTATTAACAAATGATATAATAGACATTTACAAAGTATTTTTAATTTGTGTGAAAAATACACTTTTTATAAAACAGAGACAGTATTATATAATAAGAATAAACCAAAGTAATGATTTTAAAAAATAAAAACATCATGCCTTAAATTTATCAAGTTGATGCGACTTGTGCCACACTGGTAGTGGACAAGTAGACAAGCATCATGAATCTATTGTTAATAGAAAAAAGATTCAATTTGGATTTGGATATACAGAAGGCGATGAAACGTGTTTTTGCATTATTACCATTAATATTTTTGCTTGTTGAAAATTAATTCCGTCAAACAAATAGATTAATTCAGTGAAACCATATTCTCTATAAACCCGCGCCGGTGAGTGAAATAGAAAATACATAACTCTATTCTTAACCCGTCTAGGATTATACACTATAGTAACTCTCGAGATGTTTATGACAAATCGTTCGTCCATCGGACAGTGGCTTTGCCGGATCAAGAACTCACTTTAGCCGCCGGTTTCTTTTTGGAGTTGTTTATTGGTCGGACCTTTACAAAAGCGGTTTGTAGTTCCTGCAACAAAAGAAACGTTCCGTTGGAAACTGAAGCAACGAGGAGCAAAGAGAATCAATGAAGAACAATATCAACCTAGGCTTTGTAGACTACTACTACTACTACTACTACTCAATTTTTTTGTCAACGGATCGATAAGCAGATGAACACAAACACAAAGAGCAACATAGATACAAAAGGTCTTTCGATAAATGGGAGAGAAGCATGTAGTCATATGGTGGAAATCTAATAACTGGTTACTTCAATCAATCAATCAACTACTCGAGAGAACAGTCCTTGCCATTATTATCAAAACCACTGTACTAATCAAGGAAGCATTACATAATACAAAATCCCTCCAATCTCCGTAATAGACGTCATCTCCACACAAAACCCAAGCCAAAAGTTTCAAGCTTTTATCAAATCCACACAGCCTTCAAAAGAAAAAATGTGAAAGTTGTTATACCTTTTCTGAATTATCACTAGCTTTTGCTTCAGTAGTCCAAAGGCTCTCCAAATTGAAATAAACCCTGGCCTTCTCATCAAGTGCATGGACTACAAACTTACCTACAGAGAGGGGAAATCAGAAACAGACAAGAACAATCCCATATAAGAAACGGGAAAGAATGAAATGTGAAAATCAAGACTTGTAGGTATGAACACGAACCGTAGTCTATGACAATCCATTTGCTATTGTAACCTTGCACAGAAGGAAGCCTTACATGTTTGGCTCCTATCTGCTTTTGCTTGGCCTGCTCAAATGAACAAAAAGCCAGAGAATGTAAGAAGCGTATTTGATCATCAGTCTCAATCTTCTATATTGTTCGCATTCAATGTCACAAAGTAACAACAATCGCTCATGAGGCTATCCGAATGTTTGATTTGAGGAATCAAGTTTCAATTTTTGAATCAACAATTACAAATTTGCGAAAAGTAAGAAGGTGAAAAAACGAGTATACCCTGTAGATTAGAGCCTGGGCGATATTCTTCAAGTGCCAGTCAGATCTTCCGGTGGCGATGATCGTGACATCGGCCCAGCAAGACTGATTTTGAGTTGGAATCACAATCACGTTATCGGCTTTCACGTCGGCGAGTATCTTCTCCACTTCGGGAATCGTAAGAACCTCTGAGGGATCATAGGCGCCGGCGGCTGAAGATAAAGAGGGAGAGGAAGCGAAGACGCGGCTTGAATCAGGAAAACCTAGCTTCCATGACTGGTTTAGAAGTGACGGTGACGGTGGTGATGTGACGAGAGAAGAGCAGCGAGATCGGAGAGCCGCCAACATGAGCTTAGCGCGGTTGCGAAATGGCCAAAACCTAATTGTGAACGGTGATGATGTGCTGGTGCGCGACAAGAAAAACATATCTAAATTAAAAAATACACCGTTGACAAAAAAAAAAAAAAAAAATACAATACGATACACCATTTAAAAAATCTTAAATTAAATTTACCAAATCCATTTTTTTTTTTTAACAAAAGGGTAACAAAACTAATTTTTGTATTAAAAAATAGACCATTCTTGAATTTATGGTTTAGTTTTCAGAATTCTTTTAAGAGAAAATCCTCTAATTATTTTACGATTTTGTTTTCCATCGTAAACCTATCATACAGAATTTTTGTATATTTGTTAAACGTCAAAAAAAATTTAGATCTGTCCATTCTTGAATTTATGGTTTGGTTTTCAGAATTTTTTAAAGGGAAATCCTCTAATTATTTTACGTTGAACTATAATTTTATATTTTTTTTTTGAAAATTTATGTAGCTAGTTCTTGGATTAAAGCCTAAAGAGCATATTCCTTCGCAAACTTGCAAACAAAGAAGCATATGCTCATCAATCACTAGATACATTAGTAGTATTAGGTTATAACGTATTTTTTATTCTCATTTCGCATGGTATACACTCAATTTCTGAATTTTATACTTTTTTTCTGGATAAATCTTTGTAATATAACAGAATTTATTTTGTTATTATAATTTCGGATAAAGATGAAAAACATAAATGATAGCCTTTTTTGTTATCAAGATAATTGGAAGTAAACTAGTATAATAAGCTGTATTTTCTGGAGTTAAACACACTGCACTGCACATTAGGGATCATGTAGACTTCCAAGTTAAAAAAAAAAAAATTAAATACAAGAACCGTTGGTTGTTGCCGAAGAAAAAGCGAGAATACAATCGAAAGAATAATATTCCGAGGAAGAAGAAGAGAGAAGAAAGGTAATTGAACGGTAGACGCCATAAGAGTAAGAGAGAGAGATCAAAGGAAATATTATTTTTCACACGCAAAGGTTTCGCCTTATGGATTCATGTCGTCTCTGTATCTTCTTGTTCTTCTTCTTCCTGTAACAGAGCTCTCTCTCTTGTAACAGGGCTCTCTCTTGATTAAAAGCCCTAATGAGATCCATCGATCATCATCGTCTAATGGAAGAATCGGCGGCTACGACGTCCTCCTCCTCTTCGTCGTCCCATTATTTCCCGATTTTCACGAATTACCCTCTGATTTCCGCCGTCTTAGCTTTCACCATCGCACAATTCATAAAATTCTTCACAACCTGGTAACGTTTTTACGTGCGCGTATCGCTCTCATGTTTGTTTCTTGATCTTGTCTATTGTTCAAACTCGTAGTTTCTTGAATTGATCTTGGAAAAGATTGTTGAGTACTGTGATCATCAATAAGAATTGATTTTTTTTTTTGAAGATATATATGAAACTGTTGTGTAAGTTTTGTGTAGGTATAAGGAGAAAAGATGGGATCTGAAACGGCTTGTTGGGTCTGGAGGAATGCCTTCTTCACATTCAGCCACAGTTACAGCTTTAGCTATGGCTGTTGGTTTACAAGAAGGCTTTGGAGGATCACATTTCGCAATCGCCTTGATTCTTACATGCATTGTATATATGTTTTTGCTCACTTACTTACCTTTCTTATAATCACTTGACTCTGGTTTTCAGGAGATGAGTAAATTTAAGGGGTTTTGTTTTTTTATGTGGCAGGTGATGTATGATGCAACTGGTGTAAGATTACATGCTGGACGACAAGCTGAGGTTTATGTTTGCTTGCTTTTGGTGTCACATTCACAAGATGTGTTATTTTTTTTTTTTTTTTGGTTTACTGATTTGGGTCTGCTTCATTTTAGGTTCTCAATCAGATTGTGTATGAACTTCCTGCAGAGCATCCGTTAGCTGAAAGCAGACCATTGCGTGAACTTCTAGGTCATACTCCTCCACAGGTAAGTGAACTTAGAAATGGTTTTTATGTTTGACTAAAGTAAGAGACTGAATGTGGTTTTGTACCTGAGGAATATCTGTTTTTGGTGTCATCATCAGGTAATTGCTGGTGGAATCCTTGGAACTGTCACATCAGTTGTTGGATACTTAGTCACCTTGATAGCCAAGTAGCATAAAAAAATTCACCTTTTAAGTTTGGAATTGCTCCATCGTGTGTTAAACCCACTGTTAGGTAGCTGAAACAGCCATGACAAGCGAATGGACTCTGGAAACTTGACCCTAGTTTATTTTTGTTATTTTACTGTTCAGCTGTTATGACAACATATTGATTATAGGTTTCATCTTGTACGGAAGGTCATTACACAGATCTTTGAAGTGGTAAAGAGGAGCTTGTGCCCTTGGACTATACAAACGAACATGTTTAGAATCAGCATGATCAATACGTTTGAAACTCATCTTTATGAAAAGCTCTGTCTCTCTATCGTGGATCTTTGTTAAATTGCAGAGGAGGGTCTAATCCAAAATTACTTCAAGCAATGGATCATTTCTTCAAACTCTAGCATATATGCCAATGCCACCACGAAGCTTCAGCTCGTTTCCTTTTAACTTCCATGAGTTTTGCCTAAAGAACTAAATGCTGATTTGCTCTAATTCTTTGGTTCATTAAACACATACCTTAACATTAACTTCTGTCTCCTCTGCCACTTTGAAGGTGGCACGAGCTAGCTGACATGATTCTTATAAAGATGGTAGCTTAAAGAAAGGAACACTCTCAACTTTTTCTGTCGACATAACCTCCCGAGAAGAAAAAAATACAAACAAGTCAAGACAATTATTGAGTCATGGGAACTGATTTAGTAGCTCTCGTGGAGAATCTCACATATGAGGCAGAAGGAACATACTGTCGTCTCCAACTTCTTTAATGCTTATTCGTGTAGAACTGTCTTGACTTGTTTGTGACTAATGACTATGGTATACAATTTGGTTTATTGCTGGTTTAAGTTGTGCTCAAATATATAGTACAGTCACAAATTCTCTAAACACAAAACAGTTGCAGAAACTAGTAAAAAGGTGAAAAATTATAGTTATGTTTGTGATCAAAGATTTTATCTTTGAGAGCAACACACATTAACATCAATATGTTTCAGCAAAAAAAAAAACATCGATATAACAATACCAAGGTAAGGGAAAAAATTCACAGAAGTTTTGCAGAGGCAAAAAGAGAATTGTATAGAAAGAACAAAAGAGAAAGCAGAGAAAGAGTTTACCAAAAGGCTTACCAAAACAGAATCTTGGTTTCTTTTTGTTTTGTTCCCTCTTTTGTTACCTGTTGTTAGTACAAACTGTTAGTTATATTAGTGAAGTAAATCACTGGTGGTGAGTGAATCTATGTGCAAGTAAGAACATATAGTGAAAACAATTGGTAGGGATATGTCCTTGCCAAGAAGCTGGCCCCTGGTATTAAAGCTATTAGGCTGGTATATTTTTATGTAATGAAGTGAAATTAAGTAAATGAACAAACTTAACAAATATCTTAATTTATTAATCCACAGCAAATTTTCATATAATGCAAATATCTCTTTTAATGTTTTGAATTAGAAAACTTAACAAAAACAGAAAATGGGAGTTAAAAAAGAAGTACCATAATAATGAATCCATAAAAAACCAAAAGACGGTCCACAAGCAGTAGGGGGGACTGTCATGGACCACGTGAGTTTGTCAGTCAAACCCGGACCCGCTTTTCCCCTAACCCGGACCGACAAATCCCATCTCTCGCCGCTCCTTACAAGATCTTTAACCGTACACGTGTCATATTCTCTTCACGAAACCACCTTCATCTAGAAAATCTTAATCGAAAGTTACCGTTAAAAAGTACAACTGTATCTTAAAAAAAAAATATACCGTTCTCGGGAACTACATTAGTAGTTTTAACTTTTTCCTAAACTCTTTTGCTTCTCCCAAGATTCCTCCTAATTGTTTGTGATTGTTCCCCTTGCATTTTGCATTATTATTAATTATCTCTTTATTTAATTAAGACTATACTAATAGTAGTATAATGGTGATTGTTGAGTCACTTTCTCCCCACGTACACATGTTTAGTACTATTCGTTTTTTACAGTAGTCGCAGCATTTTCACGAACCAGATCTGAGCATTTTATATACACTATTCTTTTTCTTAAAATTAGAACAGAAACAAAATGTGGGGTATATGATTTTTTGCCACTCCGAGAGAAAGAAAACCGATACTAATAAATTGTTGTTGATTCTATTGCTACGTAAATGCAAGTACTACAGTATTCGTTATCTAATTTTTACTCGCGGATAATAAATTATTAAATTTATGATATTCTATATTTTCACCCGATTCAAACAAAGCTACAAATGATTTTTTTTTTTTTTTTTTTATAATTCTTGAAACGGATACAACTCGGTGGGAGAGAACGAGTATCAATACACAACATTTTCACGGACCAGATCTGAGCGTTAAATAATTAAATACCTCATTTACACTATTTTACCTTAAAATAAAAAGGGAAACAAAAAAACTTTGGGGGTATATGATTATGCCATTCCGATAGAAAAAAGACAGAATTAATTGGAGTTTTAAAGACTATGATTCTCGTCTCTACAACAACCCATCTGGCATTAATGTCTCTCTACTGAATCTCTCACATCATCAAGTTGGGTCTACGAGAGTGACGACTCTTTGATTGCTTCGCCACATCTTTTCCTCACTTCGATTTATATCCTTTTAATCCCCTCGAAGTCATCTCTTTTTCTCTATCCCATTCTTTTCAGTGGATAAAACCTTAATACTGATTCTTACAAGTTGAAATAGATCTCTGTTTTTTAATTTTTATTTGTGACGAAAAGCAAAAAAAGAAAGAAAAAGAATGAGATCTCAAGGAGTGGAAGATAATAACAAAGCTTGGCTTGGACCAGCGACGCCGGAGATTTCGAACGGAAACGGTTTCGAGATTCAGAAAGGTGCAAACCGGACACCAAACCATCACCGGTCCACAATGGGGAAGCCAGCGCCGTCAAAATGGGACGACGCTCAGAAATGGCTCTCCGGCGTTGGGTTTGCTCGTGGCGGAGGCGGAGAGAAGAGCCACCATTCGAGGAGCTGTAAACCGAGAAACTCTAACGCCGATGATCTTAGACTCATAGCTTCTGCTTCGCAAAGGGAACGTGAAGGAGAAGATCAGTACGTTGAGTACGACGAAGACGGAGAAGCGGCGGCGGGGAGGCCGGAGGTGGAGACTAAGAACGTAGATTTGGGAGAATCAGGTGGTTCGGTTTGGAGGAAGGAGAAAGTTATTAATCCTACGGCTGTGATTCGATCGGTCTGTGTGAGGGATATGGGGACTGAGATGACTCCGATCGGTAGCCAAGAGCCTTCTAGAGCAGCTACGCCTGTGCGAGCCACAACGCCGGTTGGAAGAAGCCCTGTGACGTCACCGGTGAGAGCTTCCCACGGCGGCGAGGCGGTGAGGACGTTGACGGAGACTGTGATGGTTACGGAGGCTAGAGGCGTAGCGAGTAGTAATAATAATGAGAAGATTGGGTTTGGTGATAGTAATAATAAGGCGATGAATGCTATGGAAGCTCGAGCCATGGCTTGGGATGAGGCAGAGCGCGCTAAATTCATGGCTAGGTGATTAACATTAATTAATTAAATTAATGGCTGCATTAATTGGTGTTAATGTGGTTTGGTTTAAGTCTCAGTGTTTGAGATTGCTTTGTTCGCGTGTAATTTAGGTATAAGAGAGAAGAAGTGAAAATACAAGCTTGGGAGAATCATGAGAAGAGAAAGGCGGAGATGGAGATGAAGAAAATAGAGGTAAGATTTACACATGTTCGGTTTATTCGGATTTGATTTCGGTTTGGTATTTTCAGATCTTTAGGAAAACCTAAATACAATGTGAATCGGTTAAAACGGTATTGATTTTGGTTTGGATCAGATTAAGTTCGGTTTAATCGGATTGAATTAAGTTTGAGAGAAATGTGGAAATGTATGTGTGTAGGTGAAGGCGGAGAGGATGAAAGCGAGGGCGGAGGAGAAGTTGGCGAACAAGCTGGCGGCGACAAAGAGGATAGCGGAGGAGAGGAGGGCAAACGCGGAGGCAAAGCTGAACGAGAAGGCGGTGAGGACATCAGAGAGGGCTGATTATATAAGGAGAAGCGGCCACTTGCCATCTTCTTTTGCCTTTAAGATTCCCTCTTTCTCTCTATGTTGGTAGGCTCAGTGTACTTTGTGTTCGCTTATATTTTCATCATTGTCTTTAGAATGTAATCTAGTATGGATTTAGTGATGCAACTAATAACTAACAAAAAAGAAAATTTTTTTTATTGCAAAAATATTATATATTAAATTTAAAATTTAAAAATATTGGGTTCGAAAATCGGCTACTAAAAAAAAATAAGATTATATGAAAAGATATTAAACTATGGGTTTTAGCGTGTTTTACAAGCTGGTTAGTAGGAACATTACAAGAACATGGAGTAAAAATAAAGGAAAGATTATGAAAGTTGGGATGCAAAAACTCTATTTTTTTCTAGTTTTATCGATAAAGCCAATCATTTCTCTTTCTCTTCAATTAGGTTATTTAACTATAGACAGTTTGTCTCAGTCACCAATCCATATATCTGCATGGGGGACAAAACTCTCACTATCCACAAAAAAGCTTCAAATTTAGCATGTAAAGATGAGAGAAATTGTTTAACCGCCATAAAACCAAATAACCGACTGTCATCATCCAACTCATGGACTAGTCCCCCACCTGCTGTATCCCCTTCCTTATCCCATGAGGCATCAACTTGGCATCTCGGGTACATGGATCTGGCATTCGTAGGGCTTGTCACAATATTGTCTTCGTGTCGCTCTGGCACATGGGTTGTATTTGGAACTTCTCCAGTTTTTGAGACTTTTTATGCAATTTTTCAGGATTTCGCTTCTTGTAAAGCTATCTACAAAGTATTTGTTGGCATTATGTATTTGTTGTTGAAAACCTTTTCATTCCTGCCCTTCCATGTATATCCAGGAAAATGCTTCCAAAAACTTTGCAGGCTCTCATTGTGTTGTGACCCGGAATATGAGGTATGCTAAGTTTTGGGATTCTACTGAACACAGGAAGATACATAGAGGGGATGGGATGGCACTCTGAGCCCATATTTGTAGCGTTGGGGGCATTCAAAGAGTACATGATTGATCAACTCTATCTCTGCTCCACATCGCTGGCATCTTCTATTTGTCCCGCAGTGGCAATACATTAGTTGGCTATTGGTGGCCACGCATCCGAATAGGGACTGTCACAAGAAGTGTTGTATCTTTCGGGGGGCTTTATATCCCATACGTTACTCTTTAAGGGGGGTAAAGCTCGGTTCTATGACCGGTGGCATTCCCTTTTCGTCTCTCATTCATACTGCCAACTCATAGCCAGTTCTTACGGAGCACATACCAGACTTTGAGTAGGCCCACACCAACCTATCAGGTTTGTATGCCCTAGTGGGGCTGATGCTCTTTATACGTGGAATATCTTCCATATCAACTAACTCATCGAGGAGTTCAAGACGCCATCCAGATGTGGCAGGGTCTATCAGGTGATGCACATACAGGTCCGGGTCTCTCCCTCCTCCTATGTCAAGATTGGGTCTTGGTGGGCAGACCGGGATCCAGTTATCATACCACACTCTTGTATTGATCCCTGAATTTATTGCTTTTCTCAAGCCTCTTTGTAGAAGATCTCACCTCCATCCATAAGCCGAATTGTTTGTCTTACCAATCTCCATAGGGTTCGAGTATCAGAAGTATCTCGCTCATAAAACTCTCGCCAATAGGGATGACAAATAGTTATCAGTCTCCATAGTTATTTTGTCAGTAGCGCCAGATTAAAGCTTTTTAGGTCTCTGAACCCCAATCCGCCTATATCTTAGCTTACACAGATTTTATCCCAGACAACCTAATGCATTCCTTTATTATGTTGCTTTGTACTCCACCAGAATCAGGTTATAGCTCCATTAAGTTTTTTTAGCATGTTCTATGGGAGGAAGAAGCATGACATGACATAAGTAGGTAGGACCTGAGCTATCGACTTAATCAGAATTTCCTTCCCCCCTTTTGAGAGCAGTTTGGCTGACCACGCATTGATTCGGGTACTCAATCTGTCTTGAATAAATGCGAAGACTTGCTTTTTGGAGCCACAAATCTTTTCTAGTAGCCCCAGTTACATACCCATACCGCCTTCTTTTGAGATGCCTAGCGCCTATTTTACCTCTGCTTTCTCTGCTAGGACCTTATTCCCAAACACGATAGAAGATTTTTCACAGTTAAGTTGTTATCCCGATGCTTTCCCATAGCAGTTTATGATCTTCACCAGTTCTTCAGATTCTTTCTTGTCAGCTTTACAAAAGAACAGGCTATCATCTGCAAATAGAAGATCTGATATGGGTGGACAAGTTTGGGCCACTCTAATCCCAGTAATCCTTCCTTCTGTTTCCACTCCTTTAACTTGAGCTATTAGAGCCTCTGTCAGGATAATGAACAGGAAAGGTGATAGTGGGTCTCCCTGGCATATACCCCGAGGGTCGAATATAAACCTTCACATCTCCATTGCGAAGGTCTTTGTATAACACATATGAGATACAACATCTAATCCATACGACCCATTTCTCAGCAAATCCTATTTTTCGCATCAGTGCTTCGAGAAAATCCCACTCCACTCGGTTATGTCTGTCTTAATGGCTATATATTTTGACTTACAGATTGGGTTTGGTCTCAGTGCATGGAATGCTTCCCGTGCCACTAGGAAATTATCAGTAATAAAATGTCGAGCTATAAAAGCTGATTGGATCTCCCAAATAAGCTTCATGAGGAATCTTTTTAATCTCTTGCTTATGATCTTTGAAATAATTTCGTAGCTGATATTACAGAGGCTTATGGGCCTGAACTCTACCATTTCAGCTGGGTCTTGCTGTCTTCGGGATCAGAAAAATATTTGTCTGGTTCAACCACGAATCAAACCTGTCCATGACAAAAAAATATCTGACCACTCTGATGATGTCTTTTGAGGTCACATCCCTGGTTAAAGAGACTGGTCATTCCATTTGGTCCCAGAGCTTTCTCCGACTTTATCTCGAAAATTGCTTTCTTTATTTCCTCATCAGATGGATAGCTCGTAAGAGCAGTATTTATAGCTGGGATAACTTGCACGGTAACATACCGGAGAGCCTCATTGAACTGCTGAGGCTGAGAAGTCGTAAACATCTCTTGAAAATAATCAGCACCCACCTTTTCCAGTCCCTGTTCGTTTTCCACCAAACTCCCGATGCATTTTTGAGTTTGACGATCCTGTTTCTAGCTCTTCTTTGCTTAGTCATGGCATGGAAGAATTTTGTGTCTCTGTCACCTTTCTTAAGCCAATTAGCCCGACTTTTCTGTTTCCAAAATAGTTCTTTTTCGCAAAAGGCTGCGGATAGATTCCATTTCAAAGTTAGGAGCTCCTCATTTGAAACAGAATCATCTTGGTGGGCGGTCTCTAGTCTCTCTTTAATCTCCTCAATCTTCTTGATCACATTTGACGGGTTAAGGCGCCTCCAAGTTGATATCGCTTTTCGATATCTTCCAATATTGGCATACATGTCCGAAATGCTCAAGACATCAGAGGTTTCTTAGCCCTCAATGATTGTCCTAGTAGGCCTTTCTTTACTAGCCATCTCTTGTCATATTTAAAATTCCTCTTAACCTTACCCTATTGCGATTGTATACAAGTTAAGGCTGGCCGATGATCATAGCCCCATAGTTTCAGATACTCCACAGAAGTGTAGAAAAAGCAACGATGCAAATCTTCATTGCCTATAGCCCTGTCAAGCTTACATCAAACTCTTCTATTCCTCCTATTTTCAACCCAAGAATAGGAATTGCCTTTTGTCTAGAATTCCACCATTCTGGTGTCTTCAAGCACAATATTAAAGGGAATGAAGGATGCATCCAGACATTTCCGGCCTCCTTTTTTCTCATTGTGGCCTGTAATCTTATTAAAATCTCCACTCGTGAACCACGGGCCCGTCCTCTTGGTACTTATCCGTGTAATCGATTTCCAAACAAGTTTGCGACACTCAATGACCGAATCTCCATAAACAAAGGTCATGAAGACTTTTTTTCCTTCAATGACAGCTTCCACGTCTATCAGACGATTATTCAAAAAATAAATCTTAACATCAAAAGAATCCATATAAAAAAGAGCAAGTCCACCGCTTGTACTTTCCGGTTCCACGGGGAACAATTTATTATAACCAGAAGAAAATTGAAAGTCTTGTATAAAAGAAAATTAATTTTTTTGTTTCAGAAAGAAAAAAAAAGCAAGAGAAAAATAGCAGTGCAGCTCTCGAAAGTGTTGTTTCATCAGATAAGCTCCTGCACCTTGACAATTCTATGAAATTGTATTCATATTCTCTTACTGTATGGTTTCTTGGACCCCCATCAAACCTGAAACAGCAAAATTCTTCTTACTTTTAGCAGAAGTAAACACCTCATTTCGAGGGACAGATAATTTACGAGAGGGATTTGTATTGGTACCTGATCCATGTCTTCTCTTTGGCGAGCCACGTCTTTTGTTCCCTTGATGCAGCTTTGATGCACCCTTTCCTCTAGCTTTTGGGCTTTGCAAGACCCGTTGCTTCCAGACCCAGCTGGCGGACGTTTACTAAATAGTTTTTTTAAGCTTCTCACCTGAACGAGCATGGAATTTTATCTGATGTTCGATGCTTATTTCAGCTCTTTTTGAGATCAGTGATGGGGTAACCTGTGATATTGCAGTAATTTTCTCAGTCTCATCTTTTAGCTCCTCTGCCAATAAGTCATCGTTGTCTATTCCTCTTCGTCCATGTTAAGGTGGTTTTCTTCCACTACCATCTTGCTAAAACCCTCCACCTCTTTATCCGTCATTGAAGGTAGTGGAGTTAAATCGTCACCAAACTCTGCTGATTCCAGGCCCTCATCTATCTCCATATGCTTGGTAATCACCAGAGTTTCCTCTTTTAGACCCATCTTCCTTGTCGATGTTAGTGTATCTTGCAGTACAGGTTCCTTTATCACCAGGGTCTCCGGTTTCTTTTAATACTCGTAGTGCACCAGATTATCATTTTGAGAGGCCGGTTCCGAGACATGAGCTTTGCCTTTGAGACGTCTAAGTCTCTCGTTCTCTGCTTCACTCCAGTTACCGTCTGCTGTTATGATTCTCTGAGTACTACCAATATTTAAACTGCCGATTTGATCTGAGATTGTTTTCTGTGAGTCTAAAACTTCTTTAGAGAAATCCGTTCTGGGCTGTGTTAACCTTCGAAGTGAATCCCTTCGTGGAGAGTGGCTCAACATCTCTCTATCTCTGTTTTCTTTCGCTTTTGG